AGAAACGGAATCTTGACTTTGCCATTGTCAATGACACGCGATTTGATGTATGTATGTAGGAATATTTGCCTATCAATTTTGTTGAAGAAATCAATTTAGTCTAGAAAACACATGTTCAGTTCAGTTCAGTTCTTACAACCCTTAACCATGCACTTTCGTGCGCGGATTTTGGTTGCCCATTTGGGTAAAATTGCAGAATGATGATTAGAATGTTGAAAGCAGAATCAAGCGGAGGATAGCACATTATCAAACACTGAAGGTACGGGAACAATGAGTAAATGCATGAGCGCCACTGTTTGCGGCACACGGCCATATCAATCACTGTCTCTAACCACCGGTGACCATGATCTCTGAGTCCCCAGCCAGAGTGCCTAACGAGATCTATGTGAGCCGGTCTCCTGGTCAGTGTTTTCATACCCTCATGCCAGGTCTTAACTTGACCTGCTGTTGTAGATACAAAGGGCTGAATTAGAGCTAAATCAACAGCGAAACCGCACTTCCTGCGCTACCTATTAGTAGTGACAGGAAAACGACTGATCATGTTGCAGAAATTTATCAAGAGTTGACCGTCAGATCCAGTGGCTCTGATGGAGTCTCACCCGTTGTCCCAAGGGAATGTACTGCCTTATTTTCCTCTGCATTGTGTGAACTTTTCAATAGTTGCATTCCGCAGTAAACTATTCCCAACTGCTTGAGAATAACCTCAGTCACCCCAGTACCGAAGAGAGGTTCCTTTAAATTTCATCCCATTGCATGCACCTCAGTTGTTTTAACGGCTTGATTCTGCTTTCAACATTCTAATCATCATTCTGCAACTTTACCCAAATGGGCAACCAAAATCCGCGCACGAAAGTGCATGATTAATGGTTGTAAGAACTGAACTAAACTGAACAACAGCAGGTGCACGGTGTGAGGATTTGTGGTCAATACTTCCCATAGGGGCTTTCCAGTTCTCGCAATCAGCTTTTTTCTCAAGTCAAACACGAGCGTACAAGTGTTGAGCCTTACAAGTTCATCTTTGGTGGATTTTGAAAGAGTACGCACCTTTTGTTGGAGGAGAACCAATCGAGGATGATACAATTTTTTCTGAGGCAAAATACATCGTAAGTAAACAGAGTGGGGTATAAGCTCGTTTTCAGAGACCGTTTTTCATGCCAATACATCTGACTAGTAATTATGGAGGAAATCACAGGTTAATAAAAACGATTTAATCATAAGATTGGAAATCGAATTGACCACAAACGAGTAGTTGTTTGTCCATTCATTCATTGGTCTCTGGAGGATGTCGAATCACCTGCATAGCACCCGTTTTCGGTGGACTTTGTGGGGTGATTCAGCCTCAACCTGTCACAGCGTAAAAGCCTTCAGCAGTACCTTAAGTATTGGCCGCGCCGCCACTGTTTAATGACAATTTTCTCCCCTTTTCTTGGTAGAACTCAATTATGGTGACAGACCCACGTGGCACCACTTGTATTGGCTGCCTGCAGCGGAAATCGTCCATTTGGGATTGCTGTCCCGAGAGTCGCGCAAGTGCCTCTTGGTGCTTAAATAGAGGCCACTGGTGTTAGAGCCATCACAGTGTGCTGCTATGGCATTTATATCATAAGCTTGTGTTTACTTTCTGGTTTTTCACCCACCGCGATCGGCAGTGCTTAGTCCCATTATCATTCTGATTTCATTTGGGCACATATTTGCTGTTATACCGTAAAATGTTTTCCTTTCATTGTCACAAGTGTCCACATTAGACATTATTCAATAGACCCGCGTTATATGGAGAACCATTCGTTCAATTATTTTGAAACCCATGCCACTAACCTTATCTCCGCAAATGCATCGAAAACCGCACTAACATTCCCATATCTTTCCATCAATAGCGACAAATCCCAGCTTCACGTGAATCTTTGCGCGGCTATCCGATAGATTCGATCAACCCAAACGCTTTGGGTGCTGCTGCTGCAGAGCTGGCCCAGAATCCATACTTCCTAAATTCCCGTTCGATTAGTCCGGCCACATTAAGCGAATTTGAAAAGCAATCTACTTCAAATCGAGCAACGCCAACACAAGAACAGGAGCCTGGAATGATTGCTCAAAAAGCAACGTTGATAGCACAGTAAGTACCGCTTTCAGCTGTATTTTGACACAAAGAGCATTGATGTTCTACTCAGTTAACCGTTTTCCTACTATTGTTATCAACTAACCGTTTTAACTTTCGGTGTTGAGTTAGACTCATGTTGCATGTTGAGGTCCATGTAACACAGGGATGCAAGTACGCACATACATATATATATGTCTATATTTATATAAACAGCTTACACTTGACACGGTACAGATAATGGTTATCTTTAACAATGGAAAATGTCAAGTAGTAAAATCGGGAATAGTCTTTACTACCATCGAGATTTTGTGCAGGATTCCTTCAGAAATAATATCTTTTTACCCTCAAAAAGCTAATGGTTGTTCTGCATAGGTGCGGTAAAAGTTTGAGTGGGAGAAAACAAACCTATATTTTCTCCTCTTGAAGAATGAGATTAGCATGCAGATAATTCATGATGCAATGGATATGTAGTTTCATTGATAATCTTTACCGTCTTTGATGGATGACCACATTGGTCTCATGGGACAGTCAACACAGAAAACACAGGTGCTTGACCAATGATAGCTAATTTTTTACGTTTCGTCTGGATATCTTTGTTGAGCAAACCAAGACCTGTAAGCGGGAATTAGTTGAGTAAAACCGCGTATTCTAGTTTTGTACCCATTACATTTGCAGTGTTGTTAAACGGTTTTAGTTAGGTCACAGGCATGCAAAATGGGGAATAAACGGCTGTTTCGCTCCAAACCCGACTTCCGATCTCATGAGGAAATTGTTTCTACTAGTCTGTGATTTTATTTTATTGCCCCAAGGCAATCTCTGAAAATGAGCTTGTTCGCCACTCTGTTGTTTTGTTTGACATATGGAAAAGGTCTTTGTCTAAATCTGTAATCCTCCAAATGCGACTAGACACAGGACATACCAACCAAAGTAGAAGTTACTAAGAAAGCATAAGATTAAAATTTCCATCAATTGTTCTTGAACAATCATGAAGTGAAAGAATCATAAAATAAACCGAAGCCTTTATGCTTTAAGAATTTAATCATGTTTAAATCGCTTATCAAAATACTTTGGAATACAAAAAACCTAGGGCGATACTTAAAGTTCGCATTTCACTTACAGTTACTTGTGAGTAGTGTTGTGGAATGGTTGATGTTCATTTCAACTGGAAATCATTTAAACTTGTTCTCCACGCACAGTTCTCATCCAGTTCATCCAATCAACGACTGTAAGTTGTTGGGTAGTCTGGTTATGGTAGTTCCTGATTGTAACTTGTAAACTTCCTTTGGTTAAACATCCGCCATAGCTACCACAAAAAATATATATTTAATTTTATTCCTGAAAAATGTTGCCTTTCAGTAAAAATGCGGTCTAAAACCAGACCTTGCTAAGGTAAGACTCCAAAAACCAAACTTCATGGTTTTACCATATTTGTAAAATTATCATGCCCAGTAATTCTGACAGCTATGTTTATTCAATATGCTTTGAAATACATTACAGAAAAACACAAGTTTCACAAATGATTGATCTATTGCTGAAACGTGGGGCAGATCCGAACTCGGCCAATCAGCCTTTACCATGTCTATTCCTGCCCGTGCAGTTCGGAGATGTCAGTATGGTAGAACGTTTGCTCGGATACGGTGCAGATCCAAATGCTTGTTTGAGAACCAAGGAAACAGTCCAGAAGATACCTTTGACCTCGGTGAGTTGATACAACATTTGTGTGACACGTATTTCAGATATGCTTGGTAAAGTTCAACACAGGGCTTTTTCACCTTTTCACACGAACATTGACCGAAAAGTGCATTTTAAGTAACGCAAAACGGTATTATACCAAAAAGTATTGTATCCAAGTTGATGCCTAGTAATGGAATGAAAAGCTGGGTGTGATAGTACTTTACAGATCAAATCTGTGTTCTTTTGCTGTACACTCGGTAAATCTACATCATGACGTCATCTTGATGGCCCATCCTCATGCAGCCAACTCATTGAGTAATAGTACTTAACCGTCAACCCCAAAAGGCAAGATTTGGATAAACGGTGATGAAATGGAAGACACAACTCTGCTGTACACCATTAAAAAAACAAATGGCCATTGGGATGTTTTCATTGAAATATCCTAATATCGCAAGAGATGTCGAAGAAGATGGACTTCAGTTCTTGTTTATGTTCGAACTTGGATTGGATGCCCTAATGTTCGCATAACAGTTCATGTTTTATAGCCAAAATGCTGAAGGAAATTTTGGTACTGAAACCGATTCTTTAAAAGTAGCAACACTAATTACAGATCCTCTGGGTGCCTCTTGAAGACGTTATTATCTGATGCTCATACATTTAAAAATAGCTTTTGCCATTATGCTTGCATTGGAGTCATGTGCTTATACATGAAAATTTCAAAATTTTCTGTTTGAATCACTTAAGTCAAAGAACGTTTTGAGCAATCATTATTATCAAAGTTAGTTGATCAGTGCTATTTGGTTGATACAGATGTTCGAACTTACGATCGTCTATCTTTTAATTGATAGAATTTTTAATCCCTAGCCATAGTCGAAAAAAGAAAATTTGAATTCAACATCGTGGAAGACATAAACTGTAAAATGAAAGATCAGCACTGATTTTACGAAATAGCATCTGAGTCCTAGGTGATTTATCTCACCAATGAGCAACAGATTGTTAACCTTTCCCCATATTTAGTTAACTGCTTACACAAGCAAAAAATAATAATCAATTTTACAGGATTACAACTGCTACCCATCTCTATCAAACTACATAGGATTGCACGAACAAGTGGCTCAATCGAACTACATTGACAGTACATATTTACTCAACATTTGTGGGACATTTTGCTACTGATGACTTTTATAAACTATAAGAGAGTCATTTTAGTGAATCAACGACAATTATCCTCATTTGTTTGCAATTCCAAT